AAATTGTACATCAAATTACTTTCTGTGAGGAATCTTTGAGTTATCCAACAGTGGTCTAAAAACCAATTCTATCCCAAACCAAGGCAGACTTATCTTCCTTTAGGATAGATAGCAAATTATTCTGATATATTAGCTAGGTAACAATTCTTGCCAACCAAGGGGGCATTTAGAAACACAAGCATCTGACAAATTCTATCTCCACAGACCTGTTACTAGAAGGAAATTGCATTCTCCTTATCTTTTTCTTTGTACTTCAGATTCTTTATTTTAAAATGGGAAATTTTAAACCGCTTAAGAAGATTTGCACTTTATGTGAACTTTGATGTAATGGTAAGCTCAAGATATGATCAGTTTAAAACCTATTCATTGAGAAGATGTTTCTAAGGATATGTGTATACTCTGCTAACATTGCTCTACAGAAAGTAGAATAAGTCAGGTGTTCAAGACCTCTCCATTGCCCTTGAGCAATTGTTAATTAACCAAATGACCAGTGAACATGTTCTGAAATGGGCGGAGAGCCCTCAGTTTGGATTTAGGGGTGGGTAATGATGATATTTGGATAAATGCAGTCTAAATCCACTGCAAGAGTTGTTGAAAATACACAATGCCCAACTGTGTTTGGCACGCTGAAGACAAAATGATTAAATATTGATTTCACAGAATTCAAAAGATTCACATGACAACTACCCATCTCAAAGTAGAAGAAAAACTCCATCTAAAATTAGAACTGGAGTAGTATAGTAGTATAGTATAGGAGAGGTGGTGGGGTTCCTCGTGTAGGTGCTAGGAAACTCTGCAGAAAGGTGTGGTAACTTTTTCTGAGATTTGTAAATGCAGAATAGGGAATGAGGTCATCAAAGTGTGAAAAAAAATACCAGAAACAATGAGTAGGCCAGTTTGGTTAAAGGAAAAAGGAAGGATTAAGATTTGCAAAGTACTGAATGTCCCCAGACAACCTGTCGGAAACCTAAAATGAAACAAAGTCAGCGATTGGTGAACTTCATGCCCCAGCATTAGGGAATCATGTAGGCCATGATGTGACTGCAGCTGTTCTGTGGAAAGCTGCACATGGAAACATTGAAAGGATGTGATGACAGAGCATCACGCAGGCTTCGTTATTAGCTTTTTAATGAACATGTAATGTATCCACGTGTTTATGGAGTGTGGTGCAGTATTTCAACATCTACATACAGGATAAATGGATGAAACCGGGCAACTAACCTTTTCATTCTGTTCTCTATCTCTTCGTAAGTCACTATCATGAACTGAGACATTATTTGTCTCAGTTGATAAGATACTCTAACTAGTGATACTCTATTGCTTTGTGGTTTTGAATTTCTTGATCATTTATAAAGGATTTGTTGGTTTAAAAGAGAGCTACAATGAGGTAGGAGGAGCCGAAGAGTTGGATTAGAAGTGGAGAAGTTAAACACAACCATTGCCTATATGAAATGCTGGTGTCGCAGGCAATAGCTTAAACCACAATGCCACAGTGACATCCAAATTAACTGTTCTTATTTGCTCTTTTGATATGTTTATTCTTATCACTTCTCTATTTCTTAGCAGGTGCAAAATTATTTACTTTTACCTTTTTTTGGAATTCTTTATATATCCTGGATTTAAAATAAAATCCTTATTTGAAAGGCACCGTTGTAGAAAGAGGGAAAAGGTAGAAATCGTTCATTCCTGTTTGACTCTTAACCAGGAGCTTTCTCCAGGCCTTCCGTGTGGGCACATGCAGCCAAGAAGTTGGGCTATCTTCTGCTGCTTTCCATGGCCCATTAGCAGGAAGCTGGATCAGAAGTGGAGCAGCCAGAATATGAATCAGCACTCATATGGGATGCTGGAATTATAGACTGCAGCTTAACTCATTATGCTACAATGCTTGTCTCTCTATCCTCAATATTAGTCCTTTTTGAGTTGTGTAAGTTGCAACTAGTGTTTCCTATCGTATCAGTTGTCTCTCCACTGTGCTGTTTTCATTGCCATGTAAAAGGCTGTTATTTTGACAGAACCCCATTTACAGTAAAGAAAAACCTGAGTGTTTGTGCCTCTGCACCCATATAGGAATCCCAGAGGAAGCTCCTGGCTGCCTGGTACAGCCTTGTCACCATTTTGGTGGTGAACCAGACGATAGAAGACATCTCTTTCTGTTTTCTCACCCCTATTCTGTGAAACTGTACATTTCAAACGTATACAACAGATATTTAAAAACACTAAAAAATTTAAAAAAATTATTATTAGGATGCTGTATGGTGTAGCGGGTTAAGTGACACTGTCGTGCCATGTCAGAGAACTGGTGTGAGGCACAGAGGCAGCTCCCTGCCAGCGTGCCTGGGAGTGGAGGATGCCCATGGTGTTTGTGTCCCAGTTGCCAATGTTGGAAACAGAGGTGGAATTCCTGGCTTCTAACCTCCATCTGGCCCCATCCTGGCCTGGGCAGTCATTTTGAGGAATGAGTCAGCAGATGGAGAGATAGATTTTCCTCTGTTCCTCTCAATCACTCTGCCTTCCAAATAAGTATTTTTAAAATAATTGTCTATGTTGATAACTGAGGTGACCCCGTTGTTTTCCTCTCATGGTTTCATGAGTTATTGTTCTTTAGATTTTTGATACATTTGGAGTTGATTTTTATGTAGGGATAATTGTGTTTTAGTACTCCAGGTATGAGTATTAAATTCTCCTGGCATCGTTTTTTGAAGGGATTTTCCTTTTCCTGATATGTGTGTTTAGTTCCTATGTCGAAAGTCAGTTGGGTATACATGAGTAGATTGACTTTGCAATCTATTTCTCCATTGCTCTGTGCAGTTTTGTGCCACTATCAGTCTGTTTAGGCTGCAATAGCTTTGTAGCAAGTCTTGAACGCAAGTGTTACGAGGATCCTGATTTGTCCTCTGCTGGAAGATCGCTTTGGCTGTTGAGGGTCCTTTGTGTTTTTGTATTATTTTTAGGGTTGATTTTCCTAGTTATATGGATGCCAAAGGTCTATGTTGCTCATGTAAAAGCGTATGTGGGCAGCCCTTCACAGGACTGCACCAAACTTTGGTTGAGCGAGTGAGGAAAGTTCAAATGGGATGCAAATATTTTGACTGCTACCTTGGAAGGAGAGTCTTTCCATGAAAGGAAACACAAAAAACAAATGATTAATTTTTAAAAAGAAGCACACATGATGATTATGTTCTAATAATTACTGTTCATTTTCTCTGACTCTGAGAATCTATCAGTAAATCCCTTTAAAATAAAAATAGAATCATTTCTTAGTTTTCTAGCTAAGATCAAGTGTAGTGAAATAAAAATGGTCAAGATTTTAGCAGTTTGAGAGAGTGGAATAAGAACCTTTATGGAGCCAGAAAAAAAGGCAGATGAAAACATAGAAACAAAGAAAGGATGCTGAAGGAGTGATAGAGCGTAGTGTTAAGAAAATCAAGGTAGAAGATACCTTTTTTGTTTCTAATTTTTATGTTTTTAAAAAAGTATTTTACTTGAAACCCAGATTTACAGAAAGAAAGGGAGAGGGAGAAGGAGAGAGAGAGAAAAGGATAAACAGTGAGAGATCCTCCGTTCACTGGTTCACTTCTCAAATAGCTGCATGGCCAGGGTTGAGTCAGTTTGAAGCCAGGAATCTAGAGATTCTTCTGGATCTCCCACGTGTGTACAGGGGTCCAAGGGCTTCGGCTGTCCTCTGCTGTTTTCCCAAGCCATAAACAGAGAGCGGGGTTGAAAGTAGAGCAGTTAGAGATGGAATTGCTTGCCCATATGGGATACCAGTGCCATAGGCAGTGGGTTAGTATGCAGTGCCACTGTAGCAGACCCAAGAAAATAATTTTAGATAAGTAGAAAGAAGCCATGAATATGATATGACAGGAGTTAAGATTTCTTGGTGGTCCCCTATAATTGAAAATCATTACCAGGATACCTAGGTGGTAGTTTTCAATTAGTTGTAACAGTGAATTACCAGCAAGTAAGCTTTGGCCAGTAATCTTCCAGCCCCTTGTTAAGATCTCTGTGTGTGGATGTGGCGGTAGATTGAGCAAAGTTTACACTTTAAGGCCCTAGCAAATCCAGTGTTCAAGAGCATGGCTATTCAGTCTGAGCCAGAAGGAAGAGAGCAGGGACCACTGTGTCCATTATTCTGAATGTCATGTACTTCAACACCTACCAAAATGTTCTGTTGGTGATATGTACTCAGGAAATCTTGGCCAGGCAAACAGTTGATTCAGAGGCATCTGGATGGAAGCCCTTGCACATAACAGGAAAATGATTAAGGCACCGAGTGGAAACAAATTAAAATGGAATATGATGTGTTTTAAATGGGTGTTTGTGGCAAACATGAGAAGAGGTTTTATGGGTGACTGCCACAAATGCCATGTTGTATCTATAGCAAAAGATCAGAGTTCAGGAGAGCTTGACAGTCAGGAGCTAATGTTAGAAAGACAAGGAGAGAACAGAGCCAAATGGCAACCTTGCCTCATGTCGTTTTCCCTTTTGTACAGTAACAGAAAGACACCACTACATACCCTTTATCCGTTATTATTACATAAGTGGATAGATCCAGAGGCAAAGAAATGTAATACTAAATGCCATTTGTAGGGAAGTTAACCTTTTATTTTTGCTAAACAGTGGGAGGGTGATTAGTGAATGTGGTGAGTGATGGTAACGTGACCAGCCTGGCAAATTGGCATAGATGTCATGGTGTGCACAGTGGAGAACAGCACAGAGATTCTGTTCTGATAAACATGCAAATGAGTGTGTAGTTGGTATCCAGAATGAAGAGCATGATTCCACTTTCAATTATGTCAGGGTTTCTTTCTTCCAAGCCTATCTTCTGTGCTACATTCAAACTTATTTTGAAGATGCATCTCTGTTGTGAAGTTCTATTACATGGCAAGTCATACTAACTGTGCATATTTGCTTGACAGGAAACCTGATGCTGAGATTTAGGTGTGTGTCCTGGTGGTTTCCTCATGTCCTCATCCCCTCACCCTGTGCTCACCTTACAGGTCACGGCACATGCTCCTGTGGGCACTGCGTGTGTGAGCGAGGATGGTTTGGAGTGCTCTGCCAGCATCCACGAAAGTGCAACATGACTGAAGAACACAGCAAGAGTCTGTGTGAATCAGCAGACGGTAGATTGTGCTCTGGCAAGGGTGAGTATGGCGGCCAGAACCTGGGCTGCACCCCTCTTCTGACACATGGTATGTTCAGCTGTCAGCAGCAGACCTGTTTTTCAGATGGAGCTTTGGGTAAAAGTAAATGACCCTCCTATGTCTGTACCAAACTTGAAGCTTGAAAATCAGCTGCATACAGTTTGGGAGCTCAGAAAATGGCATGAACAGCCTAGGGATCCTGCCACAGGATTCTCAGCTACATCAGTGCCAAATAATTGATGAATGAAATAAAATTCATACTACTGGAAAGAGCCAAGAAACAAAATGTGTAACAAAGAAATCACCACCAGCAGCACCTTCCTGAAAAAAGGACAAGAATGATTGCTGAGCCCACCAAAGAAATAACAGAACCCAGAAATGCAGAAAAGAAGCATCAAATTTTCTCAATGATTGTTGGAGCTTCTGCAGCCAAATGCTTAGGAAGAGGAGGATGAGGTGCAGTTGTGAGAAAGACAGAAAAAGACAGTAAATATTTTCTTCCCTCAAAAAGAAAAGAAGATGCATAAGAAACACACACTTGTGGCACAGTTTTCTTTGGCCTGAACATCATTCTTTCTTCCAAGCAGATGTGTGTTTCTTAGCATAAGAGAACATATATTCATAAAATGGAAGAGGAAAGCATGCAAAGAGTCGTTACAACCTATCATGTCATTGTGTGGAAGCCAACCCACTGAAATATGTTCTCAAAAACGGAGTCAAAGAAAAATACTCTGTCTTACCCCTCCTACTCACACACACACAATCAAAAGAGCAGCGATTCCTTCCCATTCATGGAATAATTATAGTAGAGGTAATTCTGGGTGCTTTACAAATGTTGATGTTTCTTCAACATACTTGTTATGCATCTAGCCTAGGAGTTGTCAGGTTATTCTTTATGGCACCCAGGAAGACAGAGAGGGCCTAAGGAAGTCTTGCTCCATATGTTTGAACTTCCTTTCAAGTTAGAAGCATATGACTCTTTTCTGAAGGAGACCCAATGAAGCAAAAGTGTACAGAGACACTCAGAATCCCCCATCCTGCCCTCCCCGCCATGCTGCCATCAGAGAACAAGGGAGACGTTTACAGTGTAACGTTCCATGAATGATGTATTCCCTTTACTGTCACTGTTTCTCTATGTAAGGCCAGTGTCAGTTGAAGCAGGCTTTGGGAATGACTTAGACATAAAAGCAGATGGATACCATGGCCACAAGTGATGCCAGAAGGAGTGCTGAAGGAATTGACAATGATGGCCTTGGATTCTAGGTGTTCTGTGGTTGAGACTCGCGTTCATAATGCTGGGGCATGGAGGGCTTGCTCTCAGCCTAAGGCCATTTCAACATGCAGGTGGCACTCCAGTGAGTTTAAAGCAATCACTGTGTTCTCTGTTTCATCTCCTATTAAATTCAATTTAATTTCAGGCCTAAAACCAATCTTCTTCCAGTTCTATTCTCCATGGGGCCTCAGCTCCTGGAAACACCTATTTTGAGTTCAAACTATATGAAGAGAAATGGAAGGGAGGATAGAGAAGTTAAAAAGAAGAAACAAAGGGAAGGAGTTAAACTGTGGGAAGAAAGTAGAAGGGAAGAAGAGAGATGTTTGACCAGAGAGAGTGTCCTGTGCAGCAAACCTCCCAGTGATGATTCATTTTTAAATTAAATTTTGTGGAATATCATGACTTCAAACACAAAGCTCTAAAATGTACTTTTTAATGTGGTTTTCATTGGTGGAATTATTAAAGTGAAGGGATAATCTTTTCACAAAAGATCTACTGAATACACATACCACTCTTATTAAAATCTGAGTGTTTACAGTTTTAAAAATCAGCTGCTGTGTGTGTGTGCAGTAGGCACGCTATCAAGTCACCAACATCATCCATAATCAGATCATTGCTAAATACTGTCTAATTCAAAGTACATGAACACTACAAAAGACAAACTCATCAATGTGGTGAATTGTAGTGTGCACTTTCCTAAACTGTCTACTTCATGCAGAAATACCTGTTTCTTACAAAGAAACAGCACTTTAGTAAAGTCATTAAGTGTAAGGAAGGATTCTTATTTCTTAGCATTATACACATGGAAAATGGGAAACAACTAAAAGATTAGATTGTTTAATTCTAAGGAAATGCCTTTGGATTAGTGTTTAGACAAAGAACCTCTCCACCAGCCCACCCGGTTTCTGTATTTAGAACCTCCGCAATATATTTGCTTTAGGTTGTGGAGAGGTAGCCAGAGACCAAAGAAGGATTGAAAACACATTTGTGTAAACTCTGTGTTTACCCTTCAGAAGGTAGAGAATTTAGCGCTTGAATAGAACACAGAAGCAACCCCAGTGCTGCGCATTTTGATGTTCCCATCACTGATGGGAATTGCTCTTGTCCATGGCAGATGCTTTAGGGCTCTTATCTTTTCCTTCTGTTCTGGAGGTCTAAGGATTATATTGATCAGAAAGAGCCTCACACTGAAATCATAACTGGATCTACCGTAGGCAGAGGATAAGGGGATGCAGCACTTACCTTTGGTCCCCACTGGGAGTAACACCCCCAACCTTGGAAACCACAGGAAATAGGACTGTGACTGTAACGTTGTGGCAGAAAAGTGAAACGTGTCATACTTTTGACAGAGGCCATGTATGTCTTCATACATTCTATGAAGTTGCCTGAATTCCAAGTCATCCTTCTCAAGTTTCTCAGTGAAAATCCCACACCCTGGTGATTACAGAGAGCATCCTGTATCTGCTCCCTGTATTGATGGGACGAGTGTGAGCAGTGGCTGTGCCATTGCTGGGACTGTCCACTGAGCAGCCCGTGTCCATCAGCATGGCTAGGAGCTATGAATAAAGCCGTCACCTCAGGAGACGATGGAGAAATAGCATTTTATTTCTTTACAAATTGATAGCCAAGACAATAAATCACTCCATAGAAAAATTTAAAACAAGATACATTGTTGTGACCTTCATACCAGATGGAGTCGTTAGTACAGTAGTGAGAACTGCCTGCTGGGATGTTCCATTGCAGCATTGTGTCAGGCATGAGAAATGGCAAGAAAGTAAGTCCAACATTAGTCATGGAACGAGGAAATGATCAAAGGTGCCTTGCACTTTGATTCCAGCTGTTTGTGGGAATAGCCCAAAGAGATGAGCTTCGTGGCCAGGTCTCCCCTAAATGTAGCTACCTTTGTGTAATGTATAGGAGCTATTTCATAGGAGTTCTGTTTGTTTTGAGTTTGGGGGACAGATTTGTTTATTTCAGTAAGACTGCACAATAACACTTTTTACCTTGAGAACTTTGAACTAGACCCAGGTAATCACATTTGATTTTCTTACAGGTGCTATTGTGTCTAATGGAATTAAATAGATACCATTGGACGTATCCTCAGACCCACATGATGACACTTGTTATGTACCACATCATTCAAATAATCCAGGGTATACCCATTCACCCACCTATGTCTCACCCATCTGCTTGCCTGTTGACATTGCTAAGACAGGGGAGAAAAGAAGTTTCTCAAACACAGCCCAATATCCTAGTTTCTACACCTAAGATGACTATCCATAATGGTCTGCTACAGTAGACACTCACTTTGGAAACAATATGAACATGTTAGCTGTGGTAGTTATCACAAGCAGTTAGAAGATTGGGTTGAGTCAGATTGAAATCTCAAGCCAGTTGTTTAATTCCTGGGTGGTTCCAGACAATTCTCTTATCTTCCATAAACTTTCATTCTCTTCTTGGAAGGTAGGCAAATTGTATTTCTTTTTCTCCTTTATCTCTAAGGATGCTTTAAAACACATGAGAAAATGTGGCTAGGTCTCCAGGGATGGAAGCCAGCAAAAAGCACAGAAGGAAGATAGGGATGCTTTTAGGGTCATCATATTGAGAAAAAATAACAGATTAGCAGGGATGTGGTTATGAATGTATTGTCTTGGAGCTCCTGCCAAAATGGGCCAGCTGCTTCCTTTCGTGTTGCTGGGTCTCTTGAATGAGTTTGTTCCAGCCAGCTGACTTAGATCACCATTCACCTCTTGGTAATCATGAAGCCCGTTTCTGTCTGAGAGAGTCTTCCCCAAAGTCTTTCCCTTTCCAGAAAGGAACAGTTTGACTCTTGCCATTGGTTATTGATGAAAACAGCCAGAGTGCTTCACAAGAAAGATGCTGTACCAAAAGCTAATATCTATTCACACTGTGCTACTTGTTAATGCTATGCTCCTAATTTCACGAGCAGCAGAAATTCCTACTTCTAAGATGCATTGAGCTTTGACAAACAGGAAATAGTATGGCTGACTGAGAACAGCTACTGTCTCATGACACATATGAAATGAATTCCCGTGTTGTATTCTAAGTAGTTCAGTGGACTTTGGAAACTAGAGTTTATTTGCCAAATACTCTATCCATACATACCATATTAACTTGAGCTGAGCTTATCAGTTTTAGACAAATACTCTGCTATGGCCTGAAGCTAAGCATTCCATAAGCAAGAGCAATGTTTAGCACAGTTCCAGGACCAGGGAATAAATTTAAAGACAATATATGAAATCTTTATATGAATTTTAATATACAGGATGATATCCTAGGTGTCATACATGACTATCATGGACCATAACAATCACCTATTCTTCTGTGGTGCTGATAGTGTTATAGGTAACTGAAATAGTCTTTTGGAAACACCCAAAATCAAGTTACTGAAATATCTTCTTGCATTCACAGAACTTAAACATTAGCTATGTTCTAAGGAAATTTCTGTGTCAATGAAATCACCTATATTTTCTTTGTATCAGATACATGTTAAACAAGCAGCTGACTGGTGAACATTTCCATGCTTAGACATTTGAGATTTAACATTGGGATAGATTTCTAAACTAAGGAATCTTATGCCTGGAAACAGAACAAAAGGAAACCATCCTTGCAGCGTGGCCCTGGGTACACTCTGTCTGGCTCCTGAGCAGCCTTTGGCGGCCTGTCAAACTGTCAGAACTGAAAGATGTCTTCAAAGCAACCTAGACCTTTAGGAAAACAGTGCAATATGATAAAGAAATTATGGTGTTGTGAAGCAAAAAGAAAATGTCAACATTCTCTTTGCTGAGCAGTATTACAAGGCATCACAACAGTTTAATATGGCCATTGGTTCGTGTCAGAAAATACATGTCCTGGTTTTGGGATATAGCAGTTTTAAGATATGAAACGTTGCATGATGTTTAATGATTGTGCCACATGACTAAGCATGCATGATGTTGACTTCATTTCCTAATCATGTTTATTTCCTAGGTTATTAATAATTTTTCAATCACTATATTTCAATAGAACAAGCAATTGCTTCCTGCCCTCCAGTATACTTTGAGTTTATCAAGTCTGGAATCTTAAATATGCCCAAGTCTGTATACTACACATTCCCTAATATGCTCTTTTACCTAAAAATTTAATTATAAACATCTTTTAGTAAATGGAAATTACATTTGGAACAGAATCAATCAACTGAAGGAGATAAGGGAAGGGAGGTTGTGGTTCAGGAAGTTTGCCACGGGATGGTTTTCTAGCCTGTCATGCAAGGGTGTTCGTACTGAGAGAACTTTTTCTCTGCTCAGGGTTGTTTTACATTCATATATTATCTTTATTTAAAAAAATACTAAGGATGCAATTCTTTCTCAGTGGCTAAAATTATTTCTAGTAATTAAGAGAGAAACTTGTACTTTAAACTGGGATTTAAAAAGATGGAGAATGAGTGTGAGCCTCAGGAAGGATAAACATTGAGGGCAGGAATTAAAGCTATTATCGATGATGGCAGGGAACATGGAGGAGGAATCAGACATGTGAGTGAGTGCGTATACACTATTAGCACTTTAATTAGCCATCTAAACATGCAGGTGTTTCTGTACTTCAAACTAATTTGAACTGAAATCCAAAATTATAAGCACAATAATTTAGTAAGTATTTGAATTATAAAATGAATCTTCATGTAATAGAATTTAGTATTCAATTCCTTTAAGAACAGGCAATTTAAAAACATGGTTCAATTCAGAAAAAATGAAAAATAGCAGCCAAAAAAAAAAAAAAGACGCACCCATTTTGATCACACTTTTGGAAGGCCAGCCATAAGAATCACCACATTCTGCTCTCATTGACATTTCAATCAGACTGGGCCGTGGAACATTTGCTCAAGGCTAATTGCAACTGTCTAGATCTATAACGAAGGCTTTCCTGGATGACCTTTAAGAATTACAGTAAGTGAAGCTTCCCTCTGAGAAAGGAGCCGTTCTGTAAAGGTAGGTTATTAGAAATCCATTGTCAGGGTGTCAGTGATATTTTTTTCTCAATGAAAACCTGTAGTTGCAGGGTAAGAGCAAGTGGTCTCTCATGATTTCAGGTTCCTGCCACTGTGGAAAGTGCATTTGTTCTCCAGATGAATGGTATGTTTCAGGAGAATTCTGTGACTGTGATGACCGAGACTGCGACAAGCACGATGGACTCACCTGTACAGGTGCAGTATTGTCCCACTCTGATTGCTCTGTGCCAAGTGACTGACACCCACACAGTGCCAGACAGGACAGATTCCAGAAACAAGGGTCACCTTTTAAAATGGAGTAGCTATGTAGGGGCAAGTAGAAATAAGCACTGACCTTATCTACAGGAGCAAAAAAACCTAAGAGCTTGTGGAGAAACATCCAAAAAGTAACCCCAACCTCCGAAATGCACGTATGCAATTATATTTCCAGAAACCTTAAACATGGTGTAGGAGATGGGAGATAATGTTAAACACATCCCAGGATATCAACAGTGGATGGAAGTTCCCGCTACAGCCACCACCAGGAACTGGTTTTGTGTATGTAGGGGAGGTTAGCAATAGCATGAGAAAGACAGTTAATGCTCATTTTTTCCTAATGAATTGAGCCTCAATAATTGTTTATGAAATTAATTTTCACAATTTCCTTTCCCCTTCTCTTCTAAAGGATAAAGCATATTTGCATATGTCGTCAGGTTAGACCTTCAGCTTCTGTCTATTCCTAGAATATCACTCCTCTTCTGCCTTATAATTTGACTTTCCCCATTATGCAAGGAGCTCTAAGTATTTATTCACCAGTCACAAATAACCTGTTGTCTAGGAGAAACAAAACTGACATGGTAGCTCATCTGGAATAACACAGGATGGCAGTTATTTGCCATATGGAATGGTGATACCAAATAGCTGCCACTAATTGTAAATTGTATGGTTCACAGCTGTTTAATGTTATGTAATAATATGATCTGTGTACAGTAAGAATCCCAGCAAAGAATGAGTGAAATGATTTTGTGGTGGACACTGGTGGTTTATAACGGCATTGTTTAGTTTGGTACATTTTGATCATGGCGATGATTTCCCTGTGTGTTTGCAGGGAATGGAATCTGTAACTGTGGCAACTGTGACTGCTGGGATGGATGGAATGGAAATGCATGCGAAATCTGGCTTGGCACGGAATATCCTTGACAGTTGCATGGGAAAGGAATCTGGAATCTAACTTTTCTAGGCCATTAGAACATATAACTGCAAAGAAAATCATGTATAATCACTGCTAGAACAGATTAAATGGACTCTTGTGTTTTCTTCTATTTTGGAATGCCTGAATGGAATCTGCATACCCATTAGAAATCAGTTCAGTCAACTCTGAGGTAACACTAGAAATAATTTTTTCTCTTCAAATAACATTGGTAGTTCTCTGTGAAGGTACATTGCCACCCAGAAGACATTTGGCAATGTCTAGTGACAATTTGGATTGTCACCCTGGGTGGGGTGGAAGGGTGTACTGCATAAAGGCAGTAGGCAGAGGCTGGGGGTGTGGCCCAGCATCTACAGAGCACAAGGACAGCCCCCATGACAGAGACACCTGGATACAAATGTCAACAGTGCCAGAGTTGAGAAATGCTGAATCATGTTGTCTTTAGAAATCTCCTTTGCCACACAAGAAAGCTCATGTCAGAATCTAATGAAAAGTTTGTTTTTGTACAATTCTGTTAACTGTGCATAAATCCATTGATTGGTTGTTTCAGGATTCCATATCACTCAGCATTTCCATGTGGCGAGAAACACATGTGAGGTAAAATGTCAGATTGGGGAATTAGCATGAATGCCACAGAGGGGCAAGACCGAAGCTTTTCAGTAAGTCATCTGTCCAATCTCACTTTAAACTCATGAAAAATTCCCTGAAAATTATGAAAAATGTACAATAGAACATGTTTAATAAATAGCGACATGAGTTTATATTTGTGTCAACATATATTTCTCTACTGATAACACATATACACACAAAATGAACTGTTATTCAGGAATAAGCATCTTAGATTCCTAGAACCAAAGGATTCCATTTTAAAGTTGGGCCAGGGTTGCGTATATAACACATTTGATTTTTCACTATTTAAATTTCTTCATGGTAAGATAGCCTTTGTAAACAAAATAATCTAATTAGGTGTATGATGGACTGAAATAATTGCTTGTTTCACTTAAAAGACTTTTCGCTAAGGATACTACTGGAAAATTAGAGTTTTTAGCAAAGAATGTGAGATGTGATCAAGTTGCATGAACTTCAAAAGCTCAGGAAAACTATTAAAATGATATTTTAGAAATGGCCTAAGTAGAAAGTATAAATATTCAAACAGTGGTAAGAGCAAAAAAATTTTTTGGTAATGGTAAGACTTTGCTTTTTATGGAATTCCTATTGAATTATGAAAAGGTACAGTAAATGGGGTCTCCCTAACATATTTTCAGTTAATCCTACTTACAAACACTGGTTTTGGCAATGTTTAATTATTCAGAACCTTAAGAACACCACTTTCTTATTTGTGACACAATTTGTAGAAACCTAGGATATAGCAATTATTTCTGTGTTAAGATGAAAATTTTAATTTGGAAATTTTAGTAATATACATATTCTAGTATCATGACCTGGATTTTATAAGTCAAATCATCAAAAAATATGAATCTGCTGGAATAGGTAAAAATTTTAAACTGATAACTATTTTAGTAAGAGAAAATTGAGTCAATGTTAATTTTATAGTGCTAATATTCTCAACGCAATTGGGATTATAAAATTGCTCTTTCCCTCTCACCTGAGATTAAAGTGTGCAATCTTAGTATCTCTGTTATTGCTCTGTCAATCAGTAAACAGGGTTTGTAAAATGGAGGAACTATAGGTAGTCAATTATGTTTTTTCCAACCTGCATTTAAGCTTTAAACAAACCTATTATAATTGTTCCATAGCAATTTGGATGGCTCATTTGACCCCGCACAAACACTGGAATTGATCATGTTATCTAGTCCTCAGAATGCCAGGGAGCTCCAGGTTCCTATTGATAGCTGATATTCAATAAAAGGGCAGAAAATAGAATTTTATAGGCCAAAAGTGTTTCCCCCACATATTCTTGATGTTTTTTATTTTAGAAATGTAAAATTTTATTCTGTGTTTCCAGGCCAGAGAGACAGAGATTGGGGGTTGGATTTAGCCCACAGCCTTGACAACTGGGTCTCCTAAGACGGACTTGAATACGCCAGGGGTCACCACACATCCTCAGGTGTGTCCTGTTTTGTGGTTTAATACTTGATGTTGTCATCCCTTTTTGTTAGCAACTATGCAGAAGTGCTGCTCTGGTCATCTTCTTACATGAAAAGTTTTGAACTTGTCCCTAACATTTCTATTTGCTTCAGAATGAACCAATAATGGGGAAGTCATTGAATCATGATATTCCAAATAGGACATGTCCAAACTTTTGGACAAAAATTTGTGATTTGGATTTCTAGTTACAAATTATACAACTAAAGCTGTGTGTGGTATCTAAATTATTCTATTCGAAAAAAATTTAAATTTTCTATTTCTATTTTTCTGTGAGTCTGTATGGTGTATGTGTGTAGTTTTATTCAAGCAATGCAGATGCTTATATGGGTCTTATATGAAGTGACTGGAAAAATCAGGCAATTACATATAAAGAGAAATTTTGCCCTGTGCAAGTTTGAAAGAGCAAACTTGTAATGGGTTGGGGAAAAAATCAGCAAATTGTACTGGCTTATTTTTAAGAATTTTCAGTGGTGTTAATGTCAGTTGGAAAGGATGTTACAAGCTTGTGGAATTCCTCCACAGGGAATTCCCAGAGTCATAGAACGCGTTAGGATTGCCAGTATAGCCACTGCCTTGATGGGGTCCTGGAACTCAAGAGATCTCAGTAGACCATCTGAAATGCAAGCATAATTCCTGTCAGTAACAGTGAATCAGACCCAAGGAAACTGACAAATAACAAATATAACCCCATCCTAAAAGCAGACTCATCAAAACACTACTTGATTTGGTATCAAGTGGTCACTATTATGTCGCCTTGTAAACTAAGCAATCCAAACTCTAAAATTTGACTCCAAAGTAACAGTTGACTTTCTGAATTTTGATCAATTTGCATTTTTAAAAATTGAGCTGTCAGATCAATTATTTTTCCATGTATATTTCCTTGTCATGATTTTGAAAATAATTTTCAGTATTTGAGATTACTAAAATGACACTTACCACCTCCTAAACTGGTTCTAAATTTGATCTCTCCTTTTGGAGATGTATCAAATATTAATTCCTCCTGTAATGTTAGGGAGAAAATGTTAAATGAAGTGATACATGTCTAATTTAAAAGTTTTTTTTTTCAAAAGAAAACTAGGTATGATATTGGTCATCTTGAAAATACAGCAAGTTCTTTAAGCATTAATTTGACTGTGTGCTTAGTCTCCAAAGGAAGAATAATCAGGGGTTGTGTGGACACATTTTTGGTTCCTTTAAATTACTCCTAACCCCAAACACACTGGAGAAGCAAACATTGAGAGCAAGACAGTCTCAATTCTGCAGTTTAGGATTTGCAATGAATGATGCTCAGTTCCATTTTCCCTTCACACAGAGTGGGTAATTTCTAGAATTATGCAATATAATGGCAACAACGCCTTTTAGAAAGTAAACTTACTAGAACAGAAAAAATGACATCTGAAATACACAAACGGCAAACATTTCTGAGGGGTGCACAGAGCAAGCAGCTATGGTAACAAATCAATAGACGAACCCTCCCACTCCATGTATGCATGCAGAAGGAATGAACTATATAGATTTGAAACAATGGACATATATATATACATGGAGGTACAAAACACATGGTCTATAAATACAAATTCCATATTTACTACACAGAACATTGATAGCAAAAGATTGCACTTAACTGCAAACTTAATTTTGAAAGGAAAAAAAATTAAGAAGTGTTACCCTAGAATAGCAAGAGAGGTATTATCAAAGAGCTAGACTTTTCTTTGGCATGTAAAAGGGGAAGATTGATTTTACTGACTTACATGACATTTTCTGTATTTGTGGGTGACACAATGTCATTTTGTTACATAAAATTGATTTTTAGTATGTCTTCATATAAATATTTTATTCAGTTGGTTGTATTTCTGAATACAACAATATTAAACTGTACAATGCAGACAAACTGTGTAAATTGTGTACTACATACCAACAGTTCTTGACACACAGGTCCTAGCACATGCAGTACATCACTGCTGCCCTCTTCCCATGCAACACGTGAGACTGGACAGGGAGGAAGTGAGCTAACTCAATTACAAACAACAGGGACCCCTCTGCAATATGTCTAGACGTCTATTAGGAGAAAGTATTGTGACATCCATTCATAGTGATAAATGCCCTTGCAGACAACCCAAACAAACCACAAAACGGAGAGGCACATTTACATAAGTAGGAGTCATTTACAAAAATAAATCTAAATCTTAGCCAATAAACAGGCTTGCAAGCAAAAAAGAAACCAGCAAGTCAGGAAGATTAGCACAAATAAATGGGGAGGGATTGTGTGTGTGTGTGTGTGTGCACGTGCATACCTATGCATGTTGTGTAACCAATGGATAGGCCCACCTAATTGGAATTAAGGTTGAGTTATTCATAGTTTGCCCCTTATTATGGGATATGTCTTTCCTCAATAATTTGTTTATGGAACTCCTGTAACCTGTTCTATTAAAAATAGGTTTTACAGTGGCCTCACACCCAATGGAAAATGGCCAAAGGAATCAGTTTCCTGTGTCAGTAATTTAACATTGACGACAAATATCCCCACACATTGTTAACTTTTTTATTCATTAAAATGGAATCCAATATGGAAATAAGCATAAACAGATAAACGTATGCTCAATTGTAAATCAGCTAAGCAGGCCGGAATTTTAACTGCTGGGCAAGGACTGTCATGGAACATTTTGAAAGCAGTGAGGAAATAATTTCCCAATGAATACAGTGCAAATGAGGGAAAGCAGTGACTGGGTCAAACTTGCACCTGCAGTGTGAGGCCAGTCCCTGGCTCCAGGCTTTGTGTTCTGTGGGGGAGGTTCAGATTGGTCTCAATGAACGCTTCTGAGAAGAAAACATTGGATTTTATTAAGTGTATACAGTTAACAAATGTATTTGCAAATAGTTTAGTGCTCAACATTTTGAAACCAGTTTTGTACACTGCACATGGAATCTTCACCAAGTAGTCAACTCTTCTAAGTTCTTTTGTAGAAGTTGCCTTCCCAAGCTCAGGATTGAACAGTATTCAATTCTAAAGGAATGAAGAAAGCAAACGGAAACCACAGCAAACAAAGACAGCAAATGGCCTAAAAGCCTGATGTTTGAGAGTGTTGGATTGCCTTTGTTTTTCTCTTGGATCCCTCAGCTGGCTGTATTCTGAGATGACAGCCAGGCACCTGTGAACCAGCCAAGGGGCGACATGAGTCCCCTGAAGGCGAGTAACAGGTGTTTACCGGTGAGGTCCACAGACGCGGACTTGGCATGCTGAACTGAAAAAAATTGTCTAATATGTCCAGATTAAAAATTGACATTAAACACCAAAAATATTAAAGTCTAATTGTTAACTAACTTTTGCATTGTTGCTGCAGCAAAGACCACAGCCGCCTTGCCCATGCTCGGCTGAGTGTGAGTGGGACACAGCCATAACGGGGTTCGTGTCAGTTTCAGTTCATTAAAAAACAGGAAGGAGCAGATCTGAGATGGGTTTAGGTAGCGCAATGCTTGTAGGTCATCATGATTTTGTTTGCCTTGGTTTTTTATCTCCCCCACCCCCCAAAAATAATGAAAACTAATTGATGAAAAATGAACCTTAATCAGGCCTACAAGGCCTACTGAAATCTTTGGACCCACTTTCTCAAAAACCAGTGGGTCTTGCTCGCTGGGCAAGGCAAATGTTACCATTACCAGTAAGCTTGTGATATGTATAAAACACCCACGCGCGCGCACACACACACATAGAGAAACTGAGAGGGGATGTCAGCCACGGCTCGTGGAGAGCTCCCACGGACTTGTGTCTGATCTTCTCCCCTCACCCCAAACCCCTGGCCCATGCAGTGCCGCTTCCGGGGAGCGCAGTCTGCTACTGCAGAGAGAGAGTGTATGTGCGTGGAATCGCTAAGTGTGAGCCAGAGACAACGATATTAATCTTCGTAGTTGTAATTTGTAAATAATAAGTGAGAAGGCGTCCTGATTCCCTGATTGCCCCCTGGACTAAGCCAACCGCAACGTTGAAGACAGAGGGACATAATCGCTGCGAAAGGTCACGGACAGTGGCGCGAGCAGCCCTGTAGAAACAGGAAGAGGGGACATTGATGAGAGCACAGGTTTATAGCGGCTAACTAGAAATTACGCGGGAGTTTTTGGGAGCTACAAAATTGAACTGAAACACATGAATTTTGCTGGACCAGGACTCAAAAAGGATTATGGGGAGCTGTCAGCAGGCAAGGTATTGAGTGTACTTGTGAAGTAAGTCATTCACATGAAGTGTCACTCACAGTCACAGAAAAGATATTAAAAAGGCATTCCATATCTGGTAGGGCATTCCATGGTCTGAGTTGAGCTGGTTATCCAGGTGTCTTCTTGGTGTGGGGGTGCCACAGCTTGAGTGGTATTCGCTGCAGACGCAGAAGTGGCGAGCCAGCCAAGAGCAAGCGCTGGCTGGCGTCCTGCTGCCCTCCACCCGCGAGCAGGAATGTCCAGTAAGAAGTCACCCCGCTGTGCTCGGGGCTGGTCAGTCACACCACGGGGGGAGTCTGGCTATGTGGTCTTGCTTTTGTTGACTGGTTTGCCTCCATTCATGATGGCTGACGCACTTGTGCTTTTACTCGGCGTCACCCCGGCCTTGGGGACCGTCTCCCCCACATCGTGCAAAGATGGTTCTCGGTACATGGCAACTGGAGACAGGACAGAGACACGGCCTTGGTTAGGGACTGGAATGCTCTGCCCGCGCTTTTGCACGCTTGAGCCACCTGCCTGGACTGAGATAACCCCATCCACCCAGGAACCTGAGCAAGGTAGGAATTTTCAGTGCAAACCCCACACACTACTTCCTCCATAGCTTTTGTTTTACACACCTAAAATGGGAGAGGCTAGGAGACACACACAGGCTTTCCACAGAAATGTAAGCCGATTTGCCCTCCACAGTGTGTTCAGTTGATCCCTCTGAACCAAGGTGTTTGTACACCCCCACTCACTATTTTTCTCTTAAATGGTTCAGGAACAATGTAATGACTCCTGCCAACTTCTCAGTGACACAGAAACGCTGCCAGCCAGGACCTGCTTGAGAGACTCCCCTCCAGTGTCCCTCATTCACTTTCGGGAAGATGACATGTGGCACTGGATTCACTTGCACCTCATTTTCTGCTATGTTGTTAACAGTGTAATAGTTGATGTCACACAGGGTGGTAAGCCAGAGACTGGAGCCGGCTGAGGAATCATCTGAGCACTGGTGACATCATCATTACAGCTCAGGCAGCTTTTGAGAACACGATTGCCGAGAGTCCTGGAAAAGGGCATTCTGCGGGCCCCGGGGGAAAGAGGACTGGAGGTCCAGGCACCCGCCAGCAGAAAGGCAAGTGTGGCACAGATGCTCGTAGGTGTTTGAAACCATGGATTCGTCTGTGCCCTTACATCTGGGTAAAGAATGCACATGCTAGCTCATCCTATGTGATCAAATTTTGCTTTTACCTTTTATGCCAGTCAACACAGCATGCGTTTTTTTATTCAGTAGGATACATAGTGGAATGTAAAAATGTGCATCAGGACTACAGCCAATGACTCAATGAGGTAGCAAAAGGAGCTAATACATCCTGGGTGTACATCCCAGTCTCTCTCTGCCACTACTAATGAAACTAGACCTTGACTGTCTACAAGTGAGGGTGAACAGACCACATCTAGAGTATACATAATTAATGAAGCACGTAGGCGGTCCTCATTCATCCAGGGGTATGATTTATAACCTGGAGTGGTTATAAGGAAAGTTTGACCTTAATTTTCCTCTATCAATTAAGCTGCTTAATCATGTCTGTCATTACAGTACCTACCTTCCTGTGTTAAATGTATTTCTGGCTGTTAATTATTTGAAAATAAGGTGAAAAAAGCCTGCCTCTTTTCCATATTCATACATACATACAAATATACCAGTTCAACTATAACATTGAAATTCAAAGTGATATTACATCACATCACTGGAATCTTCATTATTTCCTATGAAATATCAAAGATAACTGAGTTAAGTTTAGAAACCACCTAAGTGACAAATTTCCCTTGGTTTCCATTACATAAATACAACTGAAAGATAAGGATTTCAAATTGATACCTGCTCTATTCAAGACAGAGTTAGTGAGCAAACAGAATAAGGTAAATGAACCAAGGTCTTTGTAGAGCTGCTATGAACTCAGTTGATTTTTTTCACATTAATATTGGAAAATATGATGGCAATTTATTTAAAAAATATATTAATGATACATTTGGAACAAACAAATTGGCTTTTTTTGTTCTGATTTATCTACCTTATAATGAAATAAGTCATATTTCAGATTCTAAAATTTTGTCTTTCTTAAAAGTACCCGATGGGTAGTTTTTTGGTTTCAAGTGCTACAGAGGGAAATTTAGCATTGTTGACTTCAACATTATTGGAATTGTAAAGGTGTTATGAATCAACTCTAATGATTTGGCAAATTTAGGAAAGAAAAAATCAAAATTTCTGATTATCTTAGAGAATCTGGGGTAAAATCCAATATGCATTTCTTTTTGATGGCTAAGCCTTTCCTGTAGAAACAAAATCTGAATGCTCTAAGATAGCTTAAAGCTATTCAGTTAATGTATTCTTGCTCTTCAAAAGATGTATTTGAAACAGATGTATTTGAAAAGATAATACTTTTGATAATTCAATTGTTTCTGTATTTGTCAAACACATGTCATGTAGGTGCAGTTGGTTCTGATTAACAAGCAAAACTGGCTGACAAAGTGCAACTGTCACACCTGCTCTTTACAGAGGAATGCAAATAAATGGTCTTAAAGAAGGTTGTGCCACAACCAATAGAACATGTTCTTTAAGGGTTAAATTGCCATCTATTTTCTGTAATTATAATTCACAAGTAAAAGCGATCTCCAAAAAGTTCATGGAGATGTATCCTATTAAAAAGAAAAAACTGTGCGGAGATTTCAAAACTGCAGTACAATTGACTTTCATCTTATTCCATTTTTATGGCCTTATTGCAGTACCTTTTAATATAAGTACTTAACATCAAAATGGGCAAATATCATTCCTTCTATAATGCAAACTTTTTTCTAATATACTTTTTCCCATAAATTTATATCCTTGAAGATTCAATTTTATAAATTAGTTACCTGGGTACAGATGGGGCAGTGGCAGGGAGATGAGATGTGTCTTGGAGAAAGACACACACAGCACAGTGTGCAAGGGACAGATTTTAAGTGAACAATTCACCTGGTTATCTGTGTAATCCCCACTTAGTGCTAGCATGCCATGAGGGTTCCCCGTAGCCATGCCATCCACGTAAAAACCAACCATGCTGTAAGTTGATAAGGACTGTGCATAGGTAAAACTTACCTTCCAATGGCTTGGGTAGAAAATGAGCTGCTGGTTTGGTTTTCTTTACTCTGTTCCCTTTCATTGCTTGCCCTTCCTTGTTTAACCCTAAAAACCAGGCTCTGCCAGATTCCTGTTGTCTGTACAGCATGGACGAATAGATTACATAATAGTTTTCAAAAACAGATTCTTTAAATTTGCATTCAGGGGTAAAAAGTTCCTGGTGAGAGAAAAGAAGGAAAAGAAATTTAGGAGGGAACCAGAATTTTCTAAATACATTCTGAAATATCATCCAGTCTGGTGAGAGGATCAGCCTTTGGCAGGGATGGCTGCCTGGACCTTCCCTGTGTCATGTCTACACACCTTTCTCAATGTCTACTGAACTGAAAAGGTGTCTTTTAAGAATAGGAAACATGAGAACCCTCTCACCTTAATAAAACACAAATCATAAAGAGGGCAAGACATCAGCGTGTGTTTTCATCGTAAATGAAGCCACACCCTCAAGATATAATTCTACGTATTTCATAGACTAATTATGTAAGAACAGTTGCAGGTTGCTTTTTGTAAATGTGTCATACTTGCATAGTATCACTGACCCAAGTGAGATCTTGAAGTAAACCCATGACCCCAACTGGCATGTGGGCGGGCCACCTGAGCTATGAATGTGGCACCTGGCCTCAGCTGCTTACACACTCTCTGGTCATAGTGACAGAAGCTGAAAGTGATGACCTAATTCAATACTTGAAGTCCTAAGGGATCTCTTCAAGACAAATATTAAGAGCTGCTTTTGCTGAAAATAACCTAGCATATTTTGACAAGTTATAGCATGTTAATTACCATTACATTGAGGGCCATGATCTCCACTGATTCATAAACACTACAAAAGGCATACTGTTTTAGTATTATCAGCAATGACACAGATACTTATAGATACTTGAAGAATTCTGATTTTGGAATAAGTGATTGTTATAGTACAATATACATAATAGTAACCAGGTATTAATGTAATGTAAACTCAAAAATACATAAAGTGGAGGGGGTGGAATATGACATATTAAATTTGTACTTTCTACTAACCAGTATGAAAAGAGAAAGATTGTATTCTGCAAAATTATCCCAAACAGAAATCTTATCTTTTTCTTGGTATAAGCATTTCCTTACAGTGCATTTATAAAACATTGGCTAACACAGAAAATATCTCAATAAGAGACAGTCAGAGTTTTGTGTTTAATTCTTGCAGTATGTATTAAGCAGATAGACTGGATTGAAAAAAAAATCTGACATGTAATTAGAAAGATCCCTCGGGATTATGTATACTGCAAAGGCCACCAGCTCCAACCAATGCTTTTCATGGCACGAGAGCAGCAAGCTGAGTTAGCTTGGAAAGACAGCTAAATGGTCTACACTGAGCTCCTAGCTAGGGAGACAGGGTGGCAGGAACAACAGTAAGAAGAGAACAAAACAAAACAAAACCCTTAGATCTTTGCAAGATCTGGTTTTCCAAAAAGATAAGAAATCCATATTTGCGATAAAATCTGTTTTAATGGTAACAATTTCTTAGTTTTGTTTTATAATATTGAGTGAACCAAGGGATCTCAATGAGATATTGGAGCTCCAGTTTGAGTCTCCAATGTATGAAGAACTAGGTAAAACAGACTTCTTGCTTGCTTACCAATCTAATGTGTGTTTCTATATGGCTGGATAACATGCTGACTGTGCTGGGAAACACGCTGGAATTAGTGGTGATAATATGAAGATGCAAGTTTGAATTTTAGCTGCAATCTAAATTTTCTGAAGCGCCAAAATTAACTAAGTTTGAGAAGTCTTTTTCATACCTCGCCTGCCTATGTTTAGAACCCAATTCTACCCCTAACAAAACCGAGGATGCTAGACTTCCAACAAAAGCTGCAGTATTAACTTAAACCAATGCCAAACAAAGTCATCAAATCATAGGATAAAAGTGCAACAATTAGAGAAAGTGTCATATCTCCGCTTACGCTGTGTTTATTTTTGAAACGAAAGACCCATTTGTAGAGTGCCTATTCTCTTCACAGTTGCAGGATTCCTCCTCAGAAAGAAAGATTTATAAGAATATATTTTCCTGGGCACTTGTATGTGCCAAGATAAGTTTTTGGGTTCAGAATTTAAGGAGACACTGGAGGGAAGAGGGAGGGGGGCTATATTCCATAGCTGTGAAGGATGAATTAGCCATAAAACCACATACGGCAGGAAAACTATAACCCCAGCACTGTAGGTGACTTTGAGATCAAATCCAGTGATCCAAAAAGTTTGACATTTAGTAAAATTCTGGTAGAGCACCCACTTGTATTTCTGTAAATAAGGTTTGATTAGAAAAGAGGCACTTCCTGTCTATTGACATAGCTGCAATCAAAATGAGAGATGAATAGTTAATTAACACAGAGACTTTGTGATCCCAAAGTCCTTTGCTCAGAAAACGTTAACCAACCATAATACAAAATAAAAATTTTGAGGACTTTGAAACCATTGATTTGCAGAGGAATTTTGAAGTAATGGTCAAATTCCAGAGTTAAACTTAGATTGTACCTGAGGAATGTCTGAAGGAAGTTCTCAAATAATACATGTGATGAAATAGCCCCATGACTCTTGAGATTTTTTTTCACTGCAATTGAAATTTCATGTTCCATGAACTTTCTGTAGTGCCCACTTATATAAATATGTGAAATGTATCAAGCACATAATTTGAACAATTTCACTTAGTTAAAATTTAGGAAAAGTCTTTGAGAATACACAGCAGATCACAGGTTCCACATTCCATTTGGATATGGTATCACGTTGCCGTTACCTGTGACTAAATGAGAACAATGTCAGTAGCTCCAGATTACCTACCATCATACTAGTGCAGGGAAAATATACAAAGTGATGCTTCTGGGCCCGGCGGTGTAGCCTAGCATCTAAAGTCCTCACCTTGAACTCACTGGGATCCCATATGGGTGTCAGTTCTAATCCCATCAGCTCCACTTCCCATCCAGCTCCATGCTTGTGGCCTGGGAAAGCAGTCGAGGATGGCCCAAGGCCCTGGGACCCTGGACCCGTGTGGGAGACCCGGAAGAAGTTCCTGGATCCTGGCTTCGGATCAGCATAGCATCGGCCATTGCGGTCACTTGGGGAGTGAATCATCAGATGGAAGATCTTCCTCTCTGTCTCTCTTCTTCTCTATATATCTGACTTTGCAATAAATAAATAAATCTTTAAAAAAGTGATGCTTCTGACATATTTACAGCTCTCCCAACTGCAAACATTCATGAGGAAAATATTAGACATATACAGTCCAAACTAAATGCACAATAAATGTCAATATTTTACTAGTTTCTGTTCCAATGTCATCAAAACACTCAGTCTCCTCCCACCAAAATCCAAATAATGACTCTCATCCTTGACAACTTAGTTTTTCTCATTAGGCTTAGAAGCAGAGCAAGAGGAGGGCTACAGTACCATGCCCTTATTTGGAGAAAACTACCCAATCCTAAAGCTTTCTAATACATGTCAGACATGGTAAAGAGGAGTTGTAAAATATGCCAGTGTTGAGTATGAATTGAGTCTTAAAGTTCAGGACAAATATTCCACCATTAATACATTTCTACTTAATTGTACATGCATTTAGATAGGAATCACAGTGCTTCCTATTTCATCTAGATTGTCAGCTTTTGCTTAACCTTTCTCCTTTTATGGGAGATGAGATCTGTTAGGATTTATTCTGAGGTCAACAGAAATACATCCAAATCTACCCTCTCTCCTACCACATTGGAATTATACTGTACCAACACTGCTTAGTTCTTCAAACTATTTTTTTTTTGTCAAAGATGTAATAGAGCAATTGAGAACACCTTTTCATTTTTGGTAAACTCTCCAAATGCCCACAGTTTTCCAAGACAGACAAATGGGACATGCCATCCTGGAAGTTGATACAGGTCTCCCACTCTCTTACTTGAGCCATCCCCATTGCTTCCTAGGGTCTACATTGACAGGCAGCCCACATCGAAACAGAGGCCTGCATGGAGCTTGGGTGCTCTGAAGTGGGATGTAGGTCTCCTCATCTCTACAGCAGTTCCCCATGGACAGTGCTTTACAAAGACTTGTGCAGCACAATTAACGTTACTTAAACTTCGGAATGTTCTTTCCTTCATAACAAATTTCAAGTCATGAAATGTGGAACAGAAAATGATGGTTAACATATAAACACACACACACACAACTATATCTATCTGACATTCTATAAAATCAAATATTTATGGTAATAACTGATGCCCAGGAGTAGAAAGCAATTAATAAATTGTGTGCTTCAAATGAAGGTATACTACAAAATATTTAAGAGAATGCTTCGATTGTGTTACACAGCCCAGTGCATTTAGTGATAGTGACTCAAGCAAAGCAGTCTTCACTAATCCTGTATTAATTTAAGAGCCAAATGCTGTGATCCAAGTGGCTTCCAAACAAATGAAATTATAAATCATAGAAATATTGCTTTATGAATTTCTATTAATTTTCCTGGTATTTCAAAGTGTGTGAAATAGGAGATTTCCCATCCAGTGGTTCACTTTCCAAACTCCTGTAACAGCCGGGATTGGTCCTGGCTGAAGCTGGGAGGCTCAGCATCTCAAGTTTCCCTATGTTGTTGACAAGGGTCCCAAATTTTGGGTCATGATCTTCCTCCCTGCAGTGTCCATAAGTGGGAGCTGCAATCTAAAGCTTGTCCAGGACTCAAACTCAGATATTAGGATATGGGATGTTGCTGTGCCACTGGTACTTCAACCACTGTGCCAAGGGCCCACTCTTGATAATATCCAGGTTTTGACAGTAAGCTATTAATCTATAGACCTCAATAAGACTTTAGCATAATAATTCAGTAACCCATGTGCTAGTATTAAAGTCGATAAAACATCTTTTTGATTAAGGAACAAAATAATTTTAAATCTCATTGAACGTAAATGTATATTAGATATTGTAAACTTTTACATACATGTATAATTTAATACATATTTTATTTCAAAGGCAGAGAGCAGTCAACTGCTGTTTGACTCCCCAAATGCCTACAACAGTCTAAGCTAAGGCAGACTGTTCTCCCCCATAGGTGGAGAAACTCAAGTACTGGTTGCCTTTCTACTGAAGGCACAAACTAGTCACAACAAACGGCAGGCCTCCTGACACGGGGTGAGAACACCCCCAGCAGTGCTTGGCATG